GTATATATGTATACTATGTTTATATATTGTATATATGTATACTATGTTTATATCTAAAACCCTAAAACCCTAGAATCACAAGGTTAAGTGTCAGACAGAAGATCGGTCGCAAGGTTATGCATCAGACTTAGCGTTCGTACGCTTAAGCATCAGACTTAGGGGTCGCAATTTTAAGTCGTAGAGATAACGCGTCAAGACTTGAGCATCAGACATAGTACCATAGTGATAGTGGTCGCAAAACCAAGTTTCAGACTTGAAGGCATTTCATAGAGGTGGAGTTCAAGTAATGGATAGCAAATCTCTTGTTGGAATTTAAAAAAAAATGTATTTCTATTTTTTTTGTTTTAAAAATAGCATGCTTTTAGTCAAAATAAGAACTCAGATATACTGTATGCCTAATCTATGGTTACGAAGATATATCATTCGTCTAAGCATACATTTCATGGACTATGAATTGGCCTAAAGAAGTCCAGTATCCGATGAGTTAAATACCAGATATTTAGATATTTATATTTAACGCCGACTTTTAATAAAATAAAATGAAATTGAACGACTGAAGATTAAACTTTTTTTAACGCCTATTTGGTTTGTTTTGCTTTTAAAAAAAAGAAATATTAAATATATTATATCTTTGGCTACATATTTACGCGCTATGTATGTAATAAAAAAAAAAGTACCGGACTGCCCGATGCGTAGCCATTAGTTGATTGTTTTTTTTACTACAAAAAACCTCGTGCCATTTGTGCGGTGCCAACCCGGGGATGCGTTATAGCGATTTGATGTTGAAAATTGGGATTTTAGGAAGTGTGTGCGACTGTGCGTATTCGAGTATATTAATACCATCAACTATTTTAGGCAACAAACATGCACCTGATGGCGAGTATGATTTATACTTCAGTTGATAAATGGAAGAACTGTTTGCGTTACCCGCCTGCATGGCTGCAGAGAAGTATCGCCCAAACAGACGTTGCTTTTGATTCCTTCGGATATTTCATTGGGTGCCTCGCAGTTGTCAGATTACAAAAGTGCAGAGTTGAGCGTTAGGAGTGATTATATACAAAATAATAATAATCGAGTACTACAAACATGCATGTGGGCGACGCAGCCGTATGGATGGCTTAGGAACGCGCTGCTAGACACCCAGCTCGATTTATATGTGGTATTCATGAGAAGTATTAATCTCAGTTGTAACATGAATTTTATGTTATTTCATTCTATCAACACGCACTTGCCTCGATGCGATACTGTACAACAAACTAAATAACCCAAAGGTGCAAAACCACTTCTTGACATGTATGCAGTATAAACCAGTATAGATCTCTGACTTGTCATGTGCGAATGTTCAGTCGTAGAACCTTTTTAACCGATTGATCCCGCACAGTGCTCTCGCCAAGTAATCTAAACTAAAGAGGGTCCGCACAAGTGCGTTGGTAAATGAAGAAGTTTGTACTTGACTTTTTATTTCAAAACATCATCATTGCCAAAATCACAAAGGCCAACACAATACCGATGAGGTTGATGCTAGTAGAGGACGCTGCATTACAAGTCGCTCGAGCACTATTATAAACACCAAATCCTGTCCCACATTGATCGTTGCCAACCAAGTTAACATCTTCGCAAGCGGTGCATCCGGAGTCGGTACAGAGCTTAAAAAAAGGGTCGTCGTTGATACACCCAGCCTGTCCATATACTATACGATTATCATATGTACGCTGAGAGCAGCTTCCATCAAACGTGTCTGTATATTCGACTGAATCACACGAGAAATCACTAAAACCGTACACATTTACCGGAGTGATCCCTGTGGTGGAAGCAACATTTGATGCTGAATGGACTTCAGGAACTTCATTCTTTATGTCCGAAGCAAATTGCGGACAATCTCCCTGATCCCAATCACATGCTGCGTTATTGCATGAATCATCACAGACCGCATCATTCAGCCATCCAGAAGGACACCCCTGGGCACAGTCACTGCTGATGTAGGAAGGAGTGCCGCTGCACAATCCAGCTTGACCGTTGCAAGTATAGGAACAATCTCCATTGATCATTTGGGAGGAAAACGAGCAGCTACCAATACTGCAACATGCAGCTCTGGCTTCATCAGCTGAAGAATAAGTAGATCCGATCACCCCATTACAAGACGTAAACGCGAGCATGACGATTGATAGTTGAGTATAAGAGAACATATTTTTGTAATGGCAAATGGCAGATGTCGGCAAGTTGAATCTAGAGTTGTGATAGCAGTGCAATCAGGTTTCGGATGCTTATAAAAATGATTTTTTAAGTTATCTTTTATAGCCATTAATTCGCTAAATCGCTTCTACTCCCTCTAGCATCGGGCTAATACTTAACACATATATTCAATTTAGAGGGCTATACAGATATCTAGATTACATTGCTGTGCAGATAACTAGATTCGTCACCTTCGATACAACAATTTAGTGGAACCAATCATATAAAAAGACTTGAGCACGAACAAGGCACGTGCATCATCATTTACCCCACGTTTATTCTATTGTTCTCTGAACACAATTTAAAAACCAGATTAGAGTGCATCGAACATAATTTAGATGTAGTTTGATAAAAATTCAATTTTGAATTCACGTCCAGGAATGCCAAACGTGAATTGAGAACGCAGAAAGCCGAAAAGCGGAAAGCCATACTTAGAGGCATATTCAGGAGAGAAGGAGACACCGAGTCACCGAGAGTCCGAGACATCCCCCAGCAAATTTATTCTAAAATACAATATGCCATCAATTGATCTCAACTATGTCATAATTTTTATGTTTTTCAAAACAAATAAGAGCAAGTTGGCGGTGCCAATGTATTTATCATTTGCAAATAATAAATATCTTTGAAATAAAAATATATATTATATGGCATGTTTAGTTGTTTGTAAATAACATAAATACTGTTGTTGGTGTTTAGTTCGAACGTTTCATTCAAAACAAAAGATATATTTTGATGAAATATCATTAATTTATCATAGTTATAAGGCAATAGGCCACTCCACCAGAGTAAACTGTTGTAGGAGAATTCAGTGTAAGAGGCCTGGAGTCCTGGACTCCCTTGGAGCCTGGAGGCGATGATCGGAATTTGTTGTACACTTGGAGACTTGGAGTCTTGGACTGCCACAGCTGACGGCTGACAGCCCACAGGACACACAGCCACCAGTCACATGCAACTTACAAGGTAGTATATACTTGACAAGTAGTACAAAATAGTAGCTTACTAAATATGGTGTTGGTTGGCTCAGAGACGAGTATGTATGCTCACTATATTAAATATTTATGGCAAAAACTGAACAGTAGTCAACATTCACAAAGAAAAAATGATGATAAAATTCTCCAGTGTGAAAGATCCACGACTCCATGACAAGGAGGTTTTTGGTTTATTTTTGAAAAAACAAAGCAAAAACATACCACAACTATCATGCGCTACTTGGAGATTCAAAAATTAAAATCTGTGAAAACAGAAAACTTGAAGGCTGAAGCCTGCTTCTTGGACTTCGCCTGTCTAAAAATTTACATAGAACTGCACAACTATTCTACATAGATACACACATATTATTTACTGTTTATGAACACATCCGAATTCGATTTGTTTTGTAATTTTAAAACGCAGTTTGTTTATTGTGTTCGACTTTTTTACAATGAAACATTCAATAAGTACGCGAAAGAAGTAATCATATCTGCCTCCCGAATAACACAAGTTGAGTGAGGTTTTTAAAAGCAATGTAAGCAATTGAAGCAATGAAAAACCCAGAACGGACACCAAAGTCCACCAGTGCAACAGCAAAGTAAGCAGTGAAGGCAATCGTTGCGAGGCTGCAGACCATTCCCCGTTGGAGCCTGAGAGTTACTGTTTACAATAGTGGTTGTCGGCTGGCTTGTTATTGTTGTAGGTTGTGTATGCATAGTCCCGGGCTGTGTATACGAAATCCTTTGCTGTGCATAATCTGGTTTTGGTTGCTGTAGGGCAAGCATCTGACTTGAATGTTGTTGCTGCAATTGCATCATTTGTTGCATATTCTGTTGATTTTGCATTTGCATCATTACCATCATCTGCTGAGTGCTATCTTGTTGACTCAAACTGTCTGTACGAGCATACGAAACTGGATTTGGTAACACCATAGGGGAATTATTCATCGCGCCTTGCGGTGGCCCCGTAGATGCAGGCTTAGAAGGAGGACGGGCAGGAGGCATTATCGCCTTTTCCGGTGATTCCGGATAGTCTGGTGGTGCCGTGGCAGTCATGAGGATAAATACGTCGTTGTTCTAAAGTCTAAGCTGTAATCTACTTTGATGTATTATTTATATACGAGATTTTTATATTCTGACATAGTGAGAGATAATTTTACTAGAATTAGAATGATGTTTTACAATTATTTTTTAATACTTTTGATAAAAAAATACATGCACCAAGTTCAGTCAGTGTATGTTAAAAATAAATACAGTCCAGAGACTGTGTGAACCTGTGAGGCCGGGATATTTGTTGTACACATTCCTTTCCAAATTTTAAATATATCCAAAAAAACGTAATATGTACATAGCTCGGTTTCCAAGAATCATAAATCTACAATCAAATAATGTACAACCAAATTGAAATTTTTTTATCAGTGTAAACAAATAAAGATACCTAAAACCCTAATTCCTAAAACCCTTAAAAACTCTAAAACATAGCCGCATAGCGACATAACCTTCTTTTTTTTTAAATCACTTTTATTTAGATAGATCTGTAAATAAAGAAAAGGAAATTTTGTTGCCATTCAAGAAATAGTTTTCTGTTTTCCGCCATGATAAATATGTATGTATGAACGGTATGTCTCAATATTTATAAAATGGGTTTTTCACTAAATCTAATAATAAAAATGAATTACATTATAAATATACAATACAATAGAATCTAAACACCATTTATCGCGCCTCCGCTATTCAAGAGAAAATAATAGACTATTGAGATAGAGGCTCTTTCACTCTCACTCTCTCTGAAAGATGAAAGATTGAAAAAGAGAGTCTGAGAGTCTGAGTAGTGAGTACTCTTGTAAGAACTTGAGAAGGAAATTATAGAGATTGAAGTATTCGTTTTGCCCAATAAATTAATGCCATAGAGATAAAACGTTTTCTTCATTAAAAAATCTTATAACTGGTGTTCTACTGTTCTTTTTAGTTTTTACAAATTATATTAACTTCAAACAATAAATGATAAAAACACACAAACACATGTCAGCTATTTATTTCTACTCTTTGAAAAATTGTTGTATTCACGGTAAATACGTATGCCATATGTATTTACATACATCTGGTACAGCCGCGTAAGCTTCAGTCTTCAATCTACAAAAGAATTATATTTTTCAAGTTTTTACATACGATTTTATATGTGAAAAAATATCTATTTTCAAGCTTCCGCTACCGGATTTCGGGATTTGGCTTTTAGAGAAGAGTCCAAAACCGTCGAGAATCAATTTCGGCCAATTTTGTGAAGGCAAATATTCAGGTCCATGGTGGACATTTGATTCCTTGGGTGCCTCACAACAAACGCATGGTAAATACAAATAACTTTTGACGAGAAACAATGATGATTGACAACAACTTAAAATTCTGACACACACAAAAACACATAGAACACTAATGTAAATACACAAAAATTAGTGCGTAAAACTCGACAAACGAAAGAACTATTCGGTATTTAACAACGACTGTGTAGATTTCTAAGTCGATGTGTCTGTTTGGGACTGAGTCTCAGGTATAATAGTATATTGAGACGACTGAGACTCTGTACTGGACATTGTCTATATACGAGTCAATTGTTTGTTAACTGCATCACGCAAAAGTGGTCAGAGATTGATATACTGCACCGTCTATAAATTGGACATCGTCATTACAAAGTTATGTGGGTGTGTAAGACCATTTCCATGCCCAAATTCGGTTTCAAATGAGCTATGTAAGGCGTTTTTGAAAAAACAGCCAGTTTTTCAAATTTTGGGGTCCGCTGAAATTTGAACAATACACCAAATCCAAAGTCCGAGTATGTACTCTTTTAAAAGTTTTTTTTTGTAAAGACTATAGCCTATAGTAGCATATTCCACGCAGCCAGCCAGCCAGCCAGCCAGCCACGCAGCCAGCCAGCCAGCCAGCCACGCTATCTACCGCCTCGATGGAGTATGTAATCTTGAATTTTCTATGCTCTGGCAAAGTTGAGTTGATTTTAGTCATCAAGCACGTTGCTAGATATAATAAATACCTCATTATTTTCTTCTCGGTGTAAATCGAAATTTTATGCTGATCTAACTAACTGTTTTTATGCGGATAGCTAGTAGTCTAGACTCTAATGTTCATCCAAAGGGTAGTTTTGTCGCCCCAGGCAATCATAATTGCGCTGCAACTACAAGAAAGCTTGACGAAACCCTTGGATATATAAGTAGTAGCCGGAAAGCAACACCGCACACGGAATTAGAATTTCTGTTCAGCAAAGAACATAGTGGATTTAGATATACGAACCAGCCTGTATTGATGTATAGGCAGTCGGTACCGATGAATATTCAGCAGGTCAATTCAATGCACAGTCAGCAGCTGGTACCAATGCATCAACAATCCGTACCGATGCAGCAGGAGCCCGTGCAAATGTATCAGCAACCCGTGCAGATATATCAACAGCCTATGCAGATGTATCAGCAGCCTGAACCAATGCAGACAGAGCCTGCACCGATGTATCATCAGCCCGTAACGCTGCAAGAACAGCCTGCACCGACACACCAGCAGCTTGCTGACGAGACTCGGCCACAGCCCTGGGTGAAAATGTTACCGGTAATCGGCATGTTTCCAGCAGCCTTGGCAACCATCCTGTATATCGTTTCATTAGCAACTAACGAGTTCGTCACCTGGAACGCTCGGGACCTAACAGCCGGATACTTTAAAATCTGCTTTTCGTACTCTTATGGCATTTCCTATAGTAAATGTGCCTTTCATACTGAGGCACTAGTGTGGGGTATAGTAATGGCAATCGCTATTCTGGCAGCGTCGGTGGCTATTCTGACGGGTTTGCTCGGATTCACAGGAAATTCAACTGCCGTATTTATCCCTGCACCTTTCCTTGGACTTTCTTTTATACTGGCATGTGTGAGCGTGATTGGTGGAGCCAATACAGAATATCAAGGTTATAAGAAAAGTGATGCGCCTGGAATCAAGTTTGGTTACAGTTTCTACTTAGCCATCGTCGGTATCTTTATTAATCTTTTTGCGCTAATTATCGCCATATATTGGATAATCCGTACGAAACAAGACCACACAACCCCAGTAGCTAATTTTGAGACTCAGACTTACAGTGGCTCGCAAGCAGGTCCGGTGAAAGAACCTTCCAAACCTGAATCCATGTATCCAACAGGGGCGGCAGTTTGTATTGACCAAGGATATAATTCCGGAACTGTCCTGTACACGCAACCCCAAACACCAGTGCGACCACCCCCGCCTCAAACAACAATATTGGCAAGATTACCGTCAAAGAGCGAGTCGACGGTCGCCCACCACACGGCGACCAGTTTCGGAAAATACGAAGATTCAAAAATCTCCGCACAGAAACCGGCCAGACCTACTCTTCCTCCACAAGCACCAACTGGTGGATTTAGGACAAGCGATTCTTCCGACAATATTCTGCACATATAGCAGGTATAGACGAGAATTAAGAAAACAGTGATACGTGGACGACATCAAAATATTTCACGTTTTTTAATTCTAATCTCTTCGTACTCTCAATAAGAGATATACATTAAACAGAGAAACAGCGAAATATGGTTAAATATTTGTATGTCAGGGTTTTACTCATGGTCATATTGGTGTAGTAATATGTTAAACGATATTGCATTAATAATGGAATATTGGCACCGCCAAGTCGCCAACTGTCTCTCGAAATATTTATATGTGTGAAGCAGGTATACAGTTATCGTTCAGTATTCTGGAGGGCAATGGAGAAGCTTATTGCCCGTGGCAATTCTGCACAATTAGCTATCGAAAAGCTATACGATTCATAAGGTAGTGGACTGTCGGTGTCAAATCTGAAACGCGAGATTAAGAAAGATAAGAAACCAACGAAGGTTCAATAAAGCAAGTCAATGTATATTTGAATGTATATAACACAAAAAAAAATGGAAATTTGATGAAAAAGTGCAAGTATAGAGCCCTGTATATCTTTCAAAAAAGGGCAAAAAAAATGGTATCGGGTCAGTTTGTACCAGTCATATAGAGTACTACAAAGAGTCGTACAATCAACATATATTTAGGTAGTAGTACTTTTAAAATATCCCAAAATCTTTATAAAACTATCAGGATAAACGTATGAAAACGTACTCATTCAAAGATATAACTACAGTGATTGGATTTTTCTAAAATTGCAGCAAAAAAGCGCACGTTTTATAATTTCATACTAGAACTTAGTAGTGATATTTATATTTTATCCCAAAATCTAAATAAAACCATCAAATTTCAAGAGACAGTTGGCTATATATATATATATGTATGTATGTGTGTGTGTGTGTGTGTGTGTGTGTATATGTATATATATATATATATATATATTATATATATATATATATATTATATATATATATA